CCACCAAAAATGTATTTCAGATGGAGAGCATAAAACCATTCCTGGTTGGCTTTATTATCATAATATTTTGCTAAGAAATTACTTCACTCCAACAAAAAAGATTACTTGAAAAATAACAAATTAACCAACTTTAAACAATACTAGAAAAATTTCACAATGTTCATTGTCAACTTGTTCTCAGTATATTAGTGCTGAATGTATCACATGTGAATGTAGTTTTCATTCAATAATTCATCTACAATAATTTGAGAACTTTTGTAGCACCTAGTTCATGTATGTCACACATCTTTTCATAAAAAAATCTTTTTATTAATTCATGGTAAATTTTTAAATTATATATAACTGTATAAAAATAATCACATAAATTCACTAGTCTTTTCCCCACTGGACAATCAGCTGATAATGTGTAAATCTTGCTAATTTTTGTTTTTGCAGCATTGACAAAGATTTCACTTGCTTTCCTTTTTGTAACCATTATTTGTAAGTCCATTGTTAAATTTTTTCTTTTCATCCTCAAAAAGAGGCGCATTTTTTAAATCCTTTCAAGCTCCTCTTTGTATTATCTACATGAAGTTTGTATAGTTTGGCAAGGTGTTGCTTCTGTAAGAAATCATTCTTAAAATACATCTCACTTTTCTTTACACAATCTTTTATGTTTTCTGTAGTCTTAAGTTGAAGGCTTCTATATCTATTCTCTCTGATTTGGAAACAAGAATATCATTCAAGACATTCCAGGAAGACTCTACTTGTAGGCCATGGCCATCTGTAACAGGCAAGGTTTTCTGGCAACCATATCATCACTTATCAGTGATCTATACATCGTGGCTCCTTAAAGTATGGAAGGGAATCTGTTTGGAATCCACTTCCAAACCATAGTGGCTCAACTCATCATATAACATGTTAGATGCTAGAGCTGGCAGCTGTAGTTCTATTCCTTTGGTAAAGATCACAAAATACTAATCCTCTGGCATTCAGTTTCTTATAATTTTATAAACAAAGTTCAAGCCATTCACACTTCCTCATATTTTTCAAAACGTTTATATAAAAACATTTTTGCCATCTCTAATCAGTAATTTGAGATGCCACATTTGGCAAGTATCGTTATTTCTATTGGTTTCCATCATGGAAGATTCATTGGATGACCTGTTTGGAGTTTTAATGTAACTTTAGCAATTTGTCAATTATATCACAATGATGCCTGCAGTGTGGCAGTTTATATGCCACAGATATGAATTATGATGTCCCAACCAGTCACAATATACTGACATCAGGCTGACCAGTCCTAGCACTAACTCTTAATAGTGAGCACTTAGCAAAGCAGCTGATAAAATACCATTTTTATAAGTCTTTGGTGTGACTCGGCTGGGGTTTAAACCAGTGACCTTATGCTTCTGAGGCAGATGATCTAACCAAAAGGCCACCAATTAATGGATGAGTAGAAACTTCTGACCAATCAGAATGTTCTTTAAAATAAGAGTCTGTTCAATAACATACAGAAGAGATATTATGCCTGTATACAGTTAAATTACCACATAATGGAGCTTGATAGACCTTTTTAAAAAAATGGACTATCTCATGCAAAATCAGATTGAGTCTGCATGACAAACTGAATTCTACTTTAAAATGGAAAAATCATCACTGATTACTGGCTATATTTTGCTGAAGAAACAGAATCTAAGTGACTTTCCAAAAGACAATGATGGTTCCAACCTGAGCAGGCCTCCATTATAAGTCTGACTCTCTATTAGTGAGCTACATTGTGCTGATGTATACCCTCTGTAGTTGGCTTGCAAACACAAAACTTTCATGTTCCATTGCTGACCCAGCCTGCAAAGTGACACCTAAACTCATGTGCAGACAATGCTAATCTGGAGCTACCTTTTTTCATCAACAATGTACAAAAGGAAACTTCTTTCTTCAATTTTGGCTAATTTATTTTGTTTCAGAAATTAATAACTTTTCATAGTTTAAATTTTTATGTTTACTTCTTGCCATAAAGGAACTTGATGGTAAAATAATTATTTTATTCAATATATTTTTATGGAAATTCAAAATTTCAGTATTTCCAGTCACCTATAGATGCAGCAAACAAAAACTGATATACCTATATGGTATCTGACATGACAATGTTCTGTAGGAACTGCTAAAAATTAAAAGACTTTGAACACTATAACTCTGGACTTTAAGTTTAGCATGCTACTGTGTAGACAAATATTTCATTCCAGATGACAGCTGGGTTCCAATTCTTATCCCAGCATTTTTAAAAAAGAAAGCAGGAAACATGTGATAAAACTGCTCAGCGCTGCAAGTGTGTATACATGAAACAAGCTAATCAATATGTCAGCTACTCCAACTGCAAAAATTTCCAAAGTATAATTAATGTTACTAAATTGTGAATATGCACATATCCCCAATTTGGAGAAAGGCCCCATAGGCCTCCCAATTAAAATGACAGTAACAAAAGGAAATAAAAAATACTGTTCACATATGTCCATTTTTGGCAGACCTTTTATAAATGTCTCCCCACTGCTTACAATAAAAGAATTATAAGAAGATTCTGTTTGAAGTGGCCCAACAGAGAAAGTGAAAATCCCAAAAGATGGGTGTCTGACAATATGAAAATATAAGTTATGAGAATTCACCAAAAATAGGATCAAAAAGAGCCATTACATATGTATCAAGCAAGCAGGCTGACAAATACAATACACCCAAACCTATTTGATCAAGTGAAACAAATGTCTTCAGGTAAGTGATGGGAATGACCTCAACAATGACCTGACCACTGCCTGGATGGCTTCTTCCTGACACTGCTACATCAATATTTATTTTATTACTATAGATCCTGACCGAGTCCAGTTCAAACAAAGACATAAAATTTTATTTTAAAAAACACAGCTATCTATCAGACAAAATGATTGAAAAGCCTGGTTGCCTTGCAAGCATATCTGCCTGTTCAATTAAAAACTTCCAAGGTAACACCAAATAAAAAGAAAAATTGATAAATTACTTAAAATTCTGAAAATTTCATGAAAATGAAGGCCAAAGTTCTTACTTTAATTTTTCATTTTATGTACATAGCCCATTTATTGATTTTGCAGATAGTTTCCTGGCTTTCATTTTTATCTGTCTCCATGTACATAGCAATGGATTTTTCTACTGCTAGACACTGCTCATTTTATATACAGCTTGCTTTTTCTATAGAGACAAGAAGATTGCTTGATATTTGATAAACACCTATATCATAATTTTTATTCTGTTTTCTTTTATAAAAAATGAATGGAAAAAATATATATATTTTAAAATTCATACTGGTATCATTTTCTTACTAACATTTGCAAATTCTTTAATAACATGACTTCAACTGATAATGATTCCTTACAATAATTAAAAATGAAGAAAATTCTAACCAAGGATGAATGGATGAATGTATGAACACACAGATGGGCAGACAAACATTAAATTATCATGTATGCAGTGGGCCATGACATAAAAGAATAAAAAGTACAAAATAACACACAATACAGTATTTCCAGATGAAGAAAGAGGGGAAAATTTTATTTTTTGCTATGGAAGCCACCATGGATACAGCTTTGACAACTTGACCAAACAAATATTCCTACCCAGTGCTTTCTCAAGAAGATGTACATGCATTTTTTTAACTGGTCATCAAAAGCTTCAACTTTTGCTTGCTGAGCCACCACCAACATAATTTTGATAATGCATATGCTAATGAAAATTTCCACCAAGCTAGATCAAACTAGCTCAGCCATTCCATTATGGTAGCTATGAAAGTCACCCTGTTTCCATAGAAACAACCCTATTATCAATACTGGCCAATCATATCCTGAGGAACATTCCTAACAAGTTTGTTTGAAACGGGCCCAGCTGGATGTCTGGCTATAGCAAACCTCACTTGGCCTTAAGGCCAGGTGAGCTCATAAGAAGGCCATCACTGAAGCACTCCTTTAATATGCATGATCTTAACATCATGTCAACAGTTTGTCCATGGATAACTGTATTAGCTTCAAAATGAATCACCCAAAGTATGAAGAAAATTGATCAAACGGTTTAGGAAGTACAATCATACGGAAAAACTACCAAAACCACCAAAACTGTAATGTAAATTTATATGTCACCCTGTAACATGGACTTTTATGTTCAAATGATAAATAAAAATGTTGAAACATTATTTTGATTTATTGGGTTCTCATGGCATTTGTAACATAATATCAGTTTATATCAATGCAATGGAAATGGAAACTGTCTTTCCCAACAACAACTCATGGTATTGCCAAACCTAGTGGTCTGGATGGGCATCAAACCTGTGACACTCAACCTTAAGTCTGATGCTCTATTTAGCTACTACTACAGCTAGCCGTAATAGAATAAATTGGCTTAAATTTATAAATATACATCCCAAATATGAACAAAATCCATCAAGGATGTAAGGAAATATCTGCATATGCAAAGATCTGTAAAAGAAACTTTAACAGACTTTTTCTATGACTGCATTCAAAACTCCAAAGTCATATTGGTGATCGAGTTTGTTGCAGAATGAATTGGCTTGGCTTTATAATCAATAATGCCAGTATAATAAAAATCTATGAGGGGTTTAGGAGATGCATTATAGCAATGGAAACAAGTTTTAAAATACCCTAACAATTTGCTGGCGATGATAAATATGATGGAAGAAAATATAAATGCTGCCTCATATTCACATTTAAGGTAAGCTCAACAAAATGGAAGCAAATAAAAAGAAGTGTGATTTAGATTTTTAACATAGCTGTCAACAATTTTTTTTGTCATATCGCTATGATGTCTGCAGTGTGGCAGTTTATAGTGATGTCTAGCACTGGAGCATCATGCCAAAGACATGTGGCATGATGTCCCACCCAGTCACATTATCCTGACACCAGGCTGACCTGAGTCCTAACACTAACCTCTTAATGCTGAGTGCCAAGCGAGGCAGCTGTTAGTACCATTTTTTGAAGTCTTTGGTATGACTCGGCTGGGGATTGAACTCATGACCTCCCACATCTGAGGCGAATGCTATAACCACAAGGCCACCGGACAGGTTAAGAAAAAGTAAATCTGACACAGCATTCTTACCATATTCCTCTAACTGTTCTACTGGCTGCCATGTATAGTCAATGATGCACTGAGAAATGTTGTCAAACCCAAAAAACAACATTCTGGCCATGGGATTGAGATCATAAGCTACCGAGTTTTATGGCTTGACAATAAAAAGCTGTTGATCAGTCTTGAAAAAAAAAAATCACCTGCTTTCAATTATTGTCTTTTCAAAATTCCAATGGTCTACAAATTGTTTGCCAATGTCTGATCCATTATGCTACTATATATTTAATTGTATGAAAAGAAATGCATGCTACCCCAACTGTTGAAAACCTAGACAGTTTTCATATGTATATATTTAATTGTATGAAAAGAAATGCATGCTACCCCAACTGTATATATTTAATTTGTACTAATTTTGTCAAATCAAATGGAACTGGCACTATCAACCAAAACTATCTTTCTTCTAAAGTGAAATTCTAATTCTGAAACACAAACACAGATTTTGCATAAAGTTTAAACTAAGGAGTAAGTGTGGTTACCTTGACTATAGCAATTAAGTGGAGCCATGAACCTAACATTGAATCTTAATTGCTTTACTTATCCAGCTGTGGAAGAAGGTCATAATTTATTTATCTTCTTTTGTTCCATACAAAGACAGCTAATTAAACTAAGTCACTGTATACATATTTAAAAAATAAACCAACAAGACTCAGGTACATTTTATCTCATGACTCCTTAATGTCACTGCAGACAGCTAATCTTCAATTTTGGGAAAAGTTCTTCTTTGATCTGACACAAGAATGTAGGGCTGCAAAAGTTTATAATTATTCCACATACTGCTAAGATACAGGTTGCAGTAACCTTGTAATGCAAAATACCTTCATTATCAAAGATGAAAATTAAGGAATTGTATTTGTTTTAAAGTTGACTGAAATTTCCCCAAAGAATTCTGATTAAAAGAAACTTTGAAACCAGCAAAGTATAATAATAAAATTTATGATTTATTGATAATCATTAAGGAACACAAAATCAGTCTTTAATAACAAAATGTGGAAACAGATCACAACTCTGTAAAATATATTTCCACTGGCTATGCATACCTATCCAATGCATATAGAGAAAATATTTAATGATATATGACAAGGAAATGGTGAAGTCTTTTTAAACTGCCTTTTCTAGATTGCTCTGATTCAGCCTGATTACCAATTTCTTTTCTGAAAACCTTATGGACCACCATCTATGTTTTAAATTTGCTGGACTCTATATATAATTTTTAACTAGTAGTTGGTTTTCATATAATCCACATAATTGCAATTATGAATCAATACTTACAGTTCTATTGCTTTGTTCCAGTTTATTACATATCCAGAGAGACAGAAGGTCTCTATATTGACCACATGTACATTGCCTCGCTCTGTCCCTACATAAAGCCATTTGCTCTGGAAGGGGAGATGACAATGTGTGATCCTGAAATACAATCAAATGCAATTCACCATTGAGTAAAGAAGCAATTTAACATAATCATGATGACATTAATACTTAATTTAATCATGTCTGCTAAATCTGTACACACTGCAGGCACACATACACACAGTACAGTTCAGGTTTTCTTTCTGAACCCATGCATTGCGATAAAAGTGGAGAGAGAATGGAGGGGCTTATGTTATGCATATGTAATTAAATTGCCTGTGTGTTAGTTTTAAATTCTTTTTTATTTTATTTTTGTTTCATTACATTTTATTGCAATGATTATTTTCATGGGATTTGACAGTTAAAAAAAAAGTTAATTCTGTCTGTATAGAACAAAGCATTATATCAGCATTATTTTTAGCTGACCTTAGTTCAGATACTTGGTAAACACTTAAGTCAAAATGATTGGTCAGTATCAAGGTCATACCTCCATGGCATGATCATGATGTGTTATCAACATTTTTTTTATTATTATTGGTTCTTAAATAAGACTATCCTAGTGTACATGTCAAATGTCTTGTAGTAAGTGATCCTGTGAACAAGTATCAGAATGACATTTTTGTGAGGTTTAATACACAATATCACTTTTCTAGTTCAGTCTTAAAATAATACATTGACAGTTCTGACATTTTTGTTGTTGATAGATGAGTTTGTTTTTGAGTTTTTCTATTCTTTGGAATTAATAATTCTTTGGAAAATGTTTACAAGTGCTGCTTTTCATCAAGTTCTTGGACAAAGACAATTTGTGAAAATTATTCGAGTTCTAAAGCCGGAATATTCTTTTGAGATTCATAAAATTCAACGTGGAACTTCTGATTCATCAATACTGCATTCATCTGATTTTATTGTCTGCCATCTTTGAACATCACTAGGATTCTAACTTGGATTCATTTAAGACATTTCAGTGATAGAACTTATATTTTAGACTTCAAAATTAATTTTAGGATTATATCACAAACTATAAGTTATTTTTCATATTTTTACTGTGTTTTCTAGAGAACTAAATTATTTTTTGTTAAAATTTACAAAGCTTGTTGACTTTGAATGAGATTTGTAACAATTAGGAAAAATAACATTCTCCATCTCTCTGTGCATGCTAACAGAGTTGCCATGGCAGCTTGCAGAGAATCGCTTTGAATACCATTCATTTCATGTGGTCATCAAGGATGACCACCAAGGAATGGATCTGGTTTTCTGTGGTTTACTGTTGAAGATAATGTAACATATAATACCGAATCAATATTTAGGTAATATTAACATTGTCACAATGCCATTGTAAACTGTGCTAATACTACTGTACTCGAATCAATATTTAGGTAATATTAACATTGTCACAATGCCATTGTAAACTGTGCTAATACTACTGTACTCGAATCAATATTTAGGTAATATTAACATTGTCACAATGCCATTGTAAACTGTGCTAATACTACTGTACTCGAATCAATATTTAGGTAATATTAACATTGTCACAATGCCATTGTAAACTGTGCTAATACTACTGTACTCGAATCAATATTTAGGTAATATTAACATTGTCACAATGCCATTGTAAACTGTGCTAATACTACTGTACTCGAATCAATATTTAGGTAATATTAACATTGTCACAATGCCATTGTAAACTGTGCTAATACTACTGTACTCGAATCAATATTTAGGTAATATTAACATTGTCACAATGCCATTGTAAACTGTGCTAATACTACTGTACTCGAATCAATATTTAGGTAATATTAACATTGTCACAATGCCATTGTAAACTGTGCTAATACTACTGTACTCGAATCAATATTTAGGTAATATTAACATTGTCACAATGCCATTGTAAACTGTGCTAATACTACTGTACTCGAATCAATATTTAGGTAATATTAACATTGTCACAATGCCATTGTAAACTGTGCTAATACTACTGTACTCGAATCAATATTTAGGTAATATTAACATTGTCACAATGCCATTGTAAACTGTGCTAATACTACTGTACTCGAATCAATATTTAGGTAATATTAACATTGTCACAATGCCATTGTAAACTGTGCTAATACTACTGTACTCGAATCAATATTTAGGTAATATTAACATTGTCACAATGCCATTGTAAACTGTGCTAATACTACTGTACTCGTTTCATTTGGAAAGAGCTGAAGGGTCCTTCCCTACATCCCAGTCATGCAAGTGGAACATATATGTGCAAGACTTTATCATAACAAACTCATCACAACAGATCTACATAAACATGTCAATGTGTAGCCAGTGCAGTAATCAGAGATTGGGATCTATTCAATAAGTTATCTGAAATTAAATGTGAATCATACCAGTGGCCAGGTGTAATTGTGTTTTATAGGCAGACCTGAAGTGGGTGAACCTAGAAGCAATCCCCTATTTTAAGCTGTAAACAAATCAACTTGCACAGGTTATTCCTAAAGGCATACTTGACTGAACAGTCAACTTTTCTAAAGGATATCAATAAAATATCAAAATTTTAGATTGATGAACTTGGGATACTTTGCTAAAGTACAAAGACATTTTTTTAGGCAAAGAGTACAGTAGCAAGTCTTGGTGTAAAATCATTAACAATAATACCAGCAATTTACTTGTGTTTATCAGGCTAAAAACAATAAAACATGTTTCATATTTCACTAGTTTTAAGACTAGGGTAGGCAGTATTTTTTTAAGAAAACATTTAATGAAATTTTGTTTTACTATGGGAAAAAAGGAGCAAGAGTCAGCAATGAGGAAATGGAATGGGTGGCTTACTGGAAACAAACATGTATATATACAATTTTTTGCCTAACTTTAGTTTTGAATGCAAAAGAAATGAATTTATACTGACCCTACTTGAAGCAAATGAATCAATACAAGAAACAAATTTTCTCCATAAATTACTCATAACACTACTCTGGAAAATAGCAGTATTCTCCCCAAAGTGTGCAAGCCCTATAAACTACAGGCTGACTGTTTCTGACATTTACACCATGCCCCATCAGCTCTTTTACTGAAATATGGGTATATATGGCAAATATAATGGTGTAAGCACCCACTCATCTCATTTTGCAAAAATGATATGATTTATTTAAGAATGTACTTTTTTTGTTTTCTCACTGAATAAGGAGTTGGGAATGTATGCCATTTTGATGTATAAAGTTTATGTAATTTGAATGCACATATATTGAGTTTTATAACTCAACAGGTAAGAGTGTTTTAGTTTTTGTTGTTGTTTCGGGCTTAATGTCATTTTTCTGCAATGATAGGCTAAAATACCAGGAAAAACCTTGACCCAATGGAAATTATTGGCAAGCTTTCTCACATACCTACATAGGCAAAGTCAGAGACTCAAAGGAAAGCAGACAGAGGTTAAATGGGAGTGACTGGTAAAGGCCTTAGACAATTCAGCCATCTGATCCCCTTATTAATGCATATTGTACCTAATTACTTATAATTATTACCTGAGTATGCAATATACATATATTTTCAGTGACCTAGGATATGTTGGTAAAATTAAAATAATTTTATTCACAAAA